GTAGGATCTGCTTGAAGATGCACTTCAGATCCCTTATCATAGGCTTCCCAAGCAAACACTAGAATGATAAAAAAACATCCAAATGAAGGGTCAGCTACTTCTGTCACATTTGTTTCAAACTACCTTAAAACAATTTTTCTCATATACTTATAAAGCTTTATTTGATACAGAATGCTTTATTTTAAGACCAAATACTTACACTGTGTCTGAGCCATTGAGATGGTATCTCCTGTGTATCGGACGAAGTTATCTCCTGCATAACTAACTCTGTAAATACAAATTAAAAGAACTGTTTCAGAGAAATTGACTTAAGGAAAGCTAATTATTTAAATTGTGTTAGGAGAGAACACTGTTCTAAGTGGTACAGCATTTGTCTGCCACTTTGCTGTATTGAGGTAACTTGGGGTTGCTGTGATACTGAAAATCTTGCCACTGATGTGTCAAATGCCATAAGGGGTGGACAGAGACTGGTAGAGGTGCCAGATTAAGAAAGACTTGGAAGCAGGATTGGCATCCACTTCTTACACAATAGCCCTTTGAAAACCCTATGATCACCAGAGTACTGACAGTTACAGAACAGGGTTCAGATCTTTTGTTCATAGTGTCTCTGCGAGTTGTACTTGACTCTTAAGTTGTACAGCACTTAACAACAATTACTGTATGACCCAATCACATAGAAAGTTGGTATACTTAAGATTTCCTTTTATCTTTAATATTTTCCTTCATCTCAGAATTTAAAATCTGTAAATGTAACTTGGTACTTACTCATCTGGATTCTTTCCTGCATTCGCGTAGGGATTCTCTCTCATTGCTCTAGTTTTGGGATCATAATAAGCAGAATTTGGATCTAAATTCCGCAAATACTAGAAGAGAAAAAAGTTTAAAGATTGCATTAATGTTTACTGATAGCTCCAAAGATTTGTATTTGTAGGAGCTGTTCATGTTAAGTAGGTATGTATATACCTGACGTAAGGACAAAGAGAAAAGCAATAATCATACTTAATCTTTAAATACTTTTGACTATACTAGGGTGCTCTGGTGGACTAGTTTTGAGAAGCTATGCTGAAATTCCAAAGTTAGGAAGTTAGAACCTGTAAGAGAAGCATGGGCAATTTCCTCCTTTGCGATTTATTGCCTATGAAAACCCACTACAGGTCAGTTATGACTTGATGGCACACAGCAAAAACATCAACAATCTGCACTATGCAGATGACACAATCCTGCCTGCTGAAACTGAGGACCTGAAGTGCTTGCTACAGAGGGTCAAGGACTGCAGCCTCCAATATGGATTGAGGCTCAATGTCAAGAAGACAAAGATTCTCACCACTGGGCCAATTGGCAGCATCAGGATGGATGGTGAAGAGATTGAGATTGTTAACAACTTTAGCCTCTTTGGCTCCACAGTCAACACTCTTGGCACCAGTAGCCAGGAAATTAAAAGATGTATTGCAATGAGAAAGTCTGATGTTAGGGATCTCTCCAAAGTACTGAAGAGCAATGGTGTCTCTCTGGAGACTAAGGTGAGTCTGATACAGGAGGCCACGGTCTTTGCTATCACTTGTTATGCATCAGAGAATTGGACTAGGGAGGATAGAAGGAGAACTGATGCCTTTGAGCTGTAGTGATGGAGAAGAGTACTGAGGGTACCATGGACTGCTGGGAAAACAAACAGATTCATCCTGGAGAGGGTTAAAGTGGGCAGCTCCTTGGAGGCAAGGATTCTGAGGCTTCGTCTAACATACTTTGGACATGTTGTAAGGAGGGACATGTCCCTCGAGAGGGACATCATGCTTGGTAGGGTGGAAGGACCATGCAGGAGGGGAAGGCCTTCTATGAGGTGGGTTGATTCAGTGACTGGGGTAATCGGGATGGGTGTGTCGGAGACAGTCCATTTGGCACAGGACAGAGCAGAGTTTAGGGCTGCTCTACATAGGGTCGCTATGAGTTGTAAGTGACTTTACGGCACATAACAACAACAACAACAATCCTATGAGTAGGCAAAGTCAGGCTGAAAAGACAAATGCTTTTCAAATAGGTATGTTAGATTTGCAAGACTTACTTTTGCAATATCTTCTCTGATCCGGAGATTTCGCACAGTAATTCGTCTCTTAGAGTCAAAATTCTGTCCTGGCATGTCAATATCATCTGCATATTTATCTTCATCCTCATCTTCACTATTATGTTCTTTTTCCTGGGAAAGAGGGAGACACATTAAGAGAAATTATTACTCTTATTTTAATTATACTTTTATTTGTGTTCTTTAAAGCTATAGGTCAAGCATTAATCCTTATTAGCAGTAAGAAATGCAAAGTTTTAATGATCACTCAGGTAGAGCAAATATTTATTACCATCTGAGAATTTGGTTCCTCCTCTCCCCACTGGTGTTTTGGGGAATTCTGCATCATGAAAGAAGAAAAAGAATTTGCAATTTTATTACACTGAATTGACTAGTCATATAATATTTTAAAACACATTTAGAAAAATTCAATTCTAACATTGTGAATTTGCCCATTTCTGTTGTAATAAGAACAGAAGTTCTGAAGAGAAATATGCCATTGTGAATGGCTAATTACATTAGACCATGTACAGAACCAAAACATCTCTACACTGCTTTAGGATTGTAATCACATGAATAGGAAGATGAAGATGACCAATAGGTGCCCTTATGTTGCAATAAACAGCTTTGTACATATGGCTTTTTAAAAAATTCTTTTGGATGGATGGATCTAGTAATTTAATCCAGAAAGTGTGCATGAATATTTTACGGCATTATCCTTTCCAAAATGACTCCATCAATTTATAATCCTATAACCAACATTAAAGACATCAGTTTTAATCTTTCTTTTTTCACTACAACATTTTCCAAGTGGATAGATAAAAATATTAACTGTTCTGATTTTAATTTCTTAGATTACCAAAAGTTTAAGATTTTTAAAATTAATTGCATGTTTATATTACTTACAGCTTGTTCTACTAATTTTCCTGAAGCTAATTCTTCTTGCAGTTTTTGGGCTTTGAGTGTTCGTTTTGCCTAAAAAGAAACATTTAAAGTTTACTTACAGTATTCAAATGGTCACTTAATTTGTATTTTTTAAGAAAGAACCTTATTTTTTTCAGACAAAGTCCTGGCCAAAAAGGATCTCCTTAACATTCCCAACATTTACCCTGCTAAAGCAGTGATGAAAAGGTAAGGAAGGATAGGGACCTTAGATGAATGGAAGCAGAACAAAGAGAATGCAAATAATGAGAATACTGACAAGAGTCAACATTTATATCAAAATTGATGGCTTAAGAAAATGTTTGACCTAGTCAATTAATATAGAATGAATCAGACTAGATGTGTGGTCAATAGCAGAGAGTAAAGTGTTTTGTCTAAAGGGGCAGTAGCTACTTGACTGCAGGAGATCAATTTTACAACACTTTAAGATGCTGGGGGCGGGGGGGGGGCAGGGAGAGTTGTTAAATTAAAACTGTGTTTTAAGAACAGTAGAAAAGCAAAGGCTTTTTTTGTACCAGATCAACTTTGGCATATTCTTCTACAATCGTCATGTGTTCTTCTGGATTGTAGCCATTCCACCGATCCCTTTTCCCATCATAGTCAAAGGTCAGCTGAGGCTGGACATGTTCATCTGGAGCTATATTAGTACCTGTAAATTTTGCTCCAACTCGCCTAGGTCTCTGAAAAACAAAGGATTTTTTTTAAGTACTGATAATTCATTGCAAAGTTGACAGCTGGACAGACTGCATTGCTGGAAACTCTTGGAGCCTTGTGGCACAGTTACAAGCTGACTGTTAACAAAAAAAGCCACAGTGGTTTGAATCCAACAGGTGCACCACAGAAAAAAAGATGATACAGTCTGCTCCTGTTAAATCCTGACAGCCTCGAAAACCCAATGGAGGGTTGCCATAAGCTAGAATTTGTAGATAGTGGGTTTGGGTTTTCTTTTGGTTTTTTACAGATAGAACAAAATACAATTAAGAACTTATAGATTACCCAATTATCACTTAATCTTTAGTAGAAATTTTCTGATGGTGCTGAACTAAGTCATTCAAATTAAGTTTTACTGAGCTTGTCCCCAGATGCAAGTAATTAACAAAAAAAACCCAAAACTAACAAGCTCTTTGAGAAGGAACAATAAAGGAAGATTCTGGTAATAATTTCTAAAATTCTCAATGCCAAACTTACTTCAAAGCAGTCTTTCTTTTTGTGTGTCATGGCTCCACAATTTTCACATGCACCTTTGCGATACTTAGTAGTTATGGAATTCTAGAAATGGATGCAAAGAAAAACAAGGTATTTTATTTACATAAATAAGTTAGAAATGTTAGTTCTCATTACAAAAAAATCTGATTTATTCCTCATTGGAAAAAACACAAGTCTCCACATCTTTATAAAAAAGAGAAAATTTAACAATTTTAGTAATATCAAATCTGTAAAAGAAAATCCAGAAGTTAAAATAGCATAGACTGTGAATTTCAATAACAGATTAAAAGTGTATCTGTTTCAACTATATAATTAATGATTTTTAAAAAAATTCTTTAAATAAAATCTCTACAAAATAAAGACAGACAAATTGCCTACAGACCTCTTTCACACCCCTCTTGTACCATTCTCCAGATGAGCTATATTGCCTCTGTTTCTCTGGCTGGGGTCTTTGGTGCTTTAATGTAGGTCTTTTTGACGGGTCAATATACCACGGTACTGAGGAAATATACTGAGGAATATGAGGATTGATGTCTCTGTGAAAAAAAATTTAAAATTTAAGAGTAAGGCTTAAAAATAATGACAATTGTAAAGTTGGTATATAGAGCCCATGACTGGAGATATAATTGTAGTAAGAGGAGAGACTAGCACTGGTAACTTTTACAATACAATTAAAAACAATTAAGAAGAAAGTTAAAAAATAGGACAGTTTTTAAAAAAAATCCCAACAAAGAAAGTAAGAATAGTGAAACAGCTGATCAAAGTGAAGGAAGATGGAGTTATTTTGCTAGCATGCGATTATTTCCTATATGGCAAGTGGTTAACGGCTATGTCTAGAGTTGACTGATTAAAATAATAGTGCAACTATATTTAGTGATGTGGAGGTATAAAGGGAGACCCCCCTGGTGGCAAAGAAGTTAAAGTGTCTGGCTGCTACCTAAACCTTAATGGTTTGAATGTAGTAGTTGCCCCAAGGGAGAAATAGGTGGCAGTCAGCTTCCATAAACATTACAGTCTTAGAAATCCTAAGGTGCAGCTCTATACTTTAGGGTATCTATGAATTGGAATCTACCTGATGACAGCAAATTTGGTTTGGTTTGAATATTAAGGTTATCAACAGAAAAACTCAAGAAAGACAAGTAAACTAAATAGATAATGAATTTTGAATAAGTAGAACATGCAGAAAAAAAAATTAAAATACTTACTTTCCTTCTTCATCTACTTCAGCAGGAGCATTACCCAGTTTCCGCTGTTCTTCTAGCTCTTTCTTCTTTCTCCAGTCCTCCCTGGTCATCTTCTTTGGTTCCTCCAAACTCATTTCTTTGGAACCAGACAAAGGGGCAGCATTAACTGCCTCCACAGCTGAAGCTGACATGGTTACGTGGTTTCTCCTAAAAGAAGGGATAAAGAAATTTACAGTATAAAATTAGGCTTTCATGAGTTCAACATTGCAACTATTTAAAACACATTCTAATGTCACATATTACATGTTGTAAATGACTGTTCATATATTCTTCCCCTTTCACAGTATCTACAAGAGATTAGTCTTTCTGTCCTATTAAGAAACCTCGATATATATCTTAGCTGTGTTTCTCCCTAATCTGTAACTTACAAAGACATATATACATATTCAAAGTTTCACTGGATTCTCTATCTCATATATATTATGTACGCCTGATTTTTTTTTCTGTGTATATGGTTCAAACTTTTCTACCACACCAATTCTTGAGAGTAAATAGGGCCTCATCTCTGCTTCCTTTCAAAATCAAATGCCTTACAAGTTATTTATATCTGCTGTCTACATATTTCTTCACTTTTCATTTCCTCTTAATTTTTTCTAAACTAGCTTCTACCACCACCACTCCAAAGAGTTACTACTAAATAGGAATATTTGTGTTCAATCGATTAGACATTAGTCAACTGTTTCCTTCCTTTCAGAATGTCTTATTCCTTAGCCTATGTGATAGTGCTGTTATGTGCCATCGAGTCACTGCAATTCAGTGACCCTATGTACAACAGCTCTGAATCCTACGCTATCTTATCCTGAGCCAATCTCACTGATTCCCAACACATCTAATCTCATTGCCCCAGTTATTGTGTGAATCTAACTCATCCAGGGTCCTCTTCTGCACTGTCCTTCCATCTTTCCAAGCATAATGTCCCTCTCCAAGAACTGGTCTTTCCTGGCAACATGCCCAAAGTATGATGAAGTGAGATGAAGCTTCAAAATCCCTGCCTCCAAGGAGCAACTTGGTTTCATCCTCTCTAGGACAGACTTGGTTGTTCTCTTGGTAGTCTGTGGTATGTTCAAGACTCCTCTAGTACTACAAGTCAAAGGCATCAATTCTTCTTCTCTAATCCTTATTCACTGTCTAGCTTTCTGATGCATAGCAAGTGACTGTGAAAAAATGACCTGGATCAGGCGCACCTTAGTCTCTAGATTGAAATAACTGCTCTTCAGCACTCCAGAGGGGTCCCTGACGGCAGACTTACTCAATCCAATTTGTCTTTTGATTTCCTAACTGCTGGTGCCAAGAGTGTTGATTGTGGAGCTGAGCAAGTTAAAATTGTTAACAACTTCAATCTTTTTTTCCATTTATCATGATGCTGCCTCATGCTCAGTAGTGAGAATCTTTATCTTTTTTATATTAAGATTAAATCCATATTGAAGAGTATAGTACATCCTCCTAATTTTACTTTTATTTCTCTCGTTGACTCTCATCTCCTCTGCAGGTTCTCTCACTTTTGTTATTTAATGTTTGGTACCTAAAATCTGAGACCTAAGGCTTCACTATAAACTCCATTAATGGGACTTGCTCACCCATGATGACTCCCTATTTTATTTATGCAGATGACACAACCCTGCTTGCTGAAACTGAGGAGGACCTAAAGCGCTTGCTGTGGAAGGTCATCACTGGGCTGATTGGCAGCAAGCATCATGATGGGATGGTGAAGAGATTGAGATTGTTCACAGTTCTAGTTTGCTTGGCTCCACAGTCAACACTCTTGGCACCAGCAGCCAGGAAATTAAAAGACATGTTGTGACGGGAAAGCCTGCAGTTAGAGACCTCTTTAAAGTACTGAAGGGCAACAATGTCAGTTTGGAGATTAAGGTGCACCCGATACATGCCATGGTCTTTGCAATCACTTCCTATGCATCAGAGAACTGGACACTGACTAGGGATGACAGAAGGAGAATTGATGCCTTTAAGCTGTGGTGTTGGAGAAGAGTATTGAATATATCATGGACTGCTAAGAAAACAAACAGGTTTGTCCTGGAGAGGGTAAAGCCAGGCTGCTCCTTAGAAGCAAGGATTCTGAAGCTTCATCTGACATACGGTGGACATGTTGCAAGGAGGGACCAGTCCTTGGAGTGGGACGTCATGCTTGGCAGGCTGGAGGGACAGTGTAGGAGAGGAAGACCATCGATGAGATGGATTGATTCAGTGACTAGGGTAATGGGAGTAGATGTGTCAGAGACAGTGAGATTGGTACAAGATAGGACAGTTTATGGCTGTTGTACATAGGGTAGCAATGAGTCGCAGGCAACTGGATGGCACACAACAATAACAACAAGAAGAAGTCTGGCCTAATGGCACAAAGCTGCCCTGCAATCCCAAAGGCAAGCAGTTCAAATCCACCAGCTTCTATGCAGGAGGATGGGAAATCTCTTCTCATGCTATTTTATGCTTCTGGAAATTCCGTGAAGGGTCGGCTAAGATCTCTCCTATATTTATATTTCAATTTATTCAATTCTTTATTTGACACCTTCACATCGAGATCAAAGAGATGCTTAAATTCACATGTCTAACAAGAATAGCATAAACTAGCAATTTTCTCTGAAATTTATTCTCGTTTTTCTGTTCTCTTTCCCAATGAATGACAACATAGTTGAAGAAGGACAACATAGTTGAACGACAACAGAGCTAAAAAAATCTTCATTGTAACATATTAACAACCCCATTTACAGATGAAGAAACGGACTCAGAGAAGTATAGATGCTCTCCTAAAGAGACATGCCAAGAGAAAAGTACTTGAAACTATGCCTGACTTCAAAGTGTGTTCATTAACTGACTTCTGGGCCATCAACATTAAAAAGCAAAGTTGAATAAAGTGGTGTAGTCGCCAAGATATATTTATTAGGGTACCACGCTGTTCGGGACCCAGCAGTTCCCCTAACGTAGGCAATAATCGCTTTAATTTAACACCTTCTGTAAAACTCAGGACACTGCTTAACGTCTTCCGTTTAACCCTGATAGTAGAAAATACTATTTGTAGTCCTTTCTTAACGAATACGAAATATGATGTACAGACATTCTTTGGGAAAGGAACCAAAGTCGATCAATACTGGCACTAGAAGGAGCCATTCCCAGACTCTCCTCAAAGACGAGGGGCTGCTCAGGGTTTCCGAGTGCGTATTTGAAATCACCTCGACAAAGAAGAGATTCTTAAGTTATCTTTCACTACGAGAGCAGCGTTGACCGATTGATTAGACATTACAGGTTTCCTTCATAGACTAGGTCTCCGTCCGCCTCCCAACCTGACGTTAATCCCCGTATCTATGAACTGGAAGTCTCTGACATTTTTTGCAAGATTTCCTAGGCTCTAGATCTAGCTTCTAGATCTCAGAAATATTTACTTACCCACCTCCGCTGCAGTGAACTCCAAATCCACACGACCGGGAACGAAACACAGTATTTACGCCCGGGCTTTCCGAGACCTCCCAGAAGCCCCTGCGGCAACTTCCGTGACGAATGACACATACGCATTAACAATTCGCCGCGTTGTTTGTTCTGTTGTCTCGCGATATTATGAAACGGGTGTCATGGGATTTACGCCACTTAGTAAGGGGAGAAGATTTTTAAATGCTTTTTATCCTGTTTTGAATCTGTGATTGATTACATTCTTTAACTGTAGATTCTGGTGGAGTCTCCGATTTTCAGAGCTCAAAGAAGAAGGGAAGAAAAAAAATAAATCTAGTTAGTAATGAATGGAACCGACAATAAAATACTAGAAAACTACCTCTTTAACGAGTGGTGGCCTTGTGAGTAAGGCTTGCGCTGCCAGTCCACAGCCAGGCAGCTCAAATTCACCAGCTCCTCCGCGGGACAGAGGCTGGCCATCCACGGGAAGCTATGGGTCCGTTTCGACTCCATGGCAAGGACAGAGCGGGTGGGGAGTTGCGCGCTGCCAAACCCAAAGGCAGGTGGTTTGAATTCCCTTGCTGCTCCACCGGAGAAAGATGATCATCTCCCTTACGATTTACAGCTTCTAAAACTCACTGAAGGGTCAGCTGTTTGTGGGTTCCCCTGGAAGGCAATTAGTTTGAGAATTTTTTGTGGTTTGATTTTTGGGTTTTTTAAAAATTTTGAAAGATACACTTTATGATGCATTAGGCAAAAAAAAAAACAACCCTCTATTTTGCAACTAAAGAGTATAGTGGAAAATTTAACCGCGCTTGCAGGGTGCAATGATGCCCTAGTCCATAGGGAGTTTCACTACTAATTCAAAGGCTGAGCCTCTGGTGGTTCAAGTCCAGCAGCGATTCCGAGAGAGATGGACATTCTTCCTCCATATGATTTACAGCCTCTAAAAATCCATTGGAGCGTCATCTATGAGTCACTTTTGTCTCTACTACAATGAATTTGAGATGCGTGAACTTCTCACGGTACCCTACACTAACTCATGTTAAATTTAACACTGTATATTGACAGTGATGTGCCAGTCGTGGTAATGGGTACCTATGGTGGACAGTGTTGGCTGGAGCTTCCCAACTAAATCAAGCCATTCCAAAAATGGCTTGCCTCAGGAAACTCTTATGTATGAACAGTGCTCAGGCTGTTCGTTCATAGGGTCGCTATGAATCGTCTACGACTGGACGGCATCAAACAACAACAATAACATATTACAGATTGTAAGTGGTAATCTATATAACTCACAGTTTGTCCCCGTAAAGTCTGTCATTTTCCAGCCTGCTTCTGCAATCTATTCGAACCAAACTATGCCTAGAATATTGACAACATTGATAAGAATGGAACAATCAGTCCAGGATGTGAGTTTTGGTGGCCTAGTGGTAAGAAACAATGCTGCAGTCCGAAGGCAAGCAGTTCTAACTCACCAGCTGCTCAGCAGGAGAAAAATGAGCAATCTCCCCCTGTGCAATTTACTGTCTCAGCAAACACCCCCCGAGGGTCAGCTATGAGTCAGTTCTGACTAAAGGTATTCGCCAATGTCCAGTCCCCTCTACTGCATCCTCCAGCAACCCAATTAGAAAGTTCATACCCCTGTCTCATATTCGTATTTCAAAACTGCCTTTACTGGTTAAGTTCCTATCTCCAAGATGGGTTTTTCCAAAGGCAGACAGCAGAACCTCAA